CGAGCCAAGGATGTGGAACATGATCTCAATATCGGTGTTGATTTTGTTGATGGTTCTGTACTGCTTGGCGGTACAGCAATGAGTGTCAACCAAGCGAAGTGCCATATCGAATCGGCCCAGACTCAGTTTTTTCTATGAAGCATGGCGAAGCCGGTAATAAAAGGATCGAGCCACTCCATCATGTCGCTAAAGATACTCTGTTTGTGCCAAAGCTGGGCATCCACTGACAATGTGTTGAACAGTCTCCTTAAATTCATTGCATAAGCTACATTTCGTATTTACATTTTGATGCAAAATCACACATTGGCGGTTTCGAGTGGGAAGTGACTGGTCCTGAGCAGCAAACTAAAAGCCTTCTGTTTCACTTTTCAGGCCTAGATGTAAGAAATAAGATAAAAAAGGAGAATAAGAAAGAAACTACTACTACTACTACTACTACTACTACTACTACTACTACTACTACTACTACTACTACTACTTGCCAATTTTAAATATATTTCGGGTTCCGCGTGACTACGGATTAGAAGCATTGGTCAGACGACAGCTTCTGTAGCGAAATAGAAACTTGTCAGACCGACTGTTTCTGTGTAATATTGCCTCCTCGCAATTCAGATTCCTTCCACTGAAATTGAAGGTTTCATTCTGTCGCCTTCATCGCTTTCATACAACACCCAATCAATGTAAATGTAAACTTCGGCCAAAAATAAACATGTCTAAAGATAACATTGTGATCAGTATCAACTTGTCACATACATGAATGGACGATCAAACCAACTAATCAACGAGTGACGGAAGCCCGTAGAGAAGCAGGGCCCCGTTCCACAAAGCGATCTTAGTGCTACGTTGATCGTAAGCCTATGCTGAAGTATGGGAGTTACGACCAACTTAGCACTAAGATCGCTTTGTGGAACGGGTTCCAGGTCTTAGGTGTAGTAAAACTACCGAATTCGGAAATGGTGCTAACAAACCAATAAACATAATCAGTGCGAATTTGGGATAAGAACCCACGGTTACAGATTTCTGCTATGACTAAAGGACGCCACACTGCATGATTAATTGCAGCACCTTAGACACCTTAGACCGCCCGTGCCCCCTAATGAATGTGTGAATGAGTACATGAATGTAAATATGAATGAATGAATTGTCTTTGATGACAAGGAAAGTACAAAAATCATCTAAACTGAACTGAATGAATGAATTGTCTTTGATGACAAGGCAAGTACAAAAATAATCTAAACTGAACCCCGTTAAACTGGACAATAATGGTAGTAAAATCGTTCGGGTCAACCAATGATCTGAGTTATGATCATTTTATATAACTGACGTCCAAAGGAAACTATACCAAGGAAAATAGACTTCAGTTCCTTTATATATTCTTCTAAAACGTAGAGGATCATGAACTATAAATGTTATGATCGGTCGCCAGAAAGAATAAAAGTTTTGACAAATGACTTACCTTACGCACCAAGACACTCGAAATATTGTACGTGGACCAGGTTATTAGGGGTGGTGTCCGCGTTGGTAGGGGGGTTGTCATTTTTTATTTTGTTACGTCAGTGGAAGGTCGTCATATCGCTTTGAGCCATTAGTTGTTTGTTTGTTTGTTTGTTGTTTAATGCTGCACTCACCAATATACCAGCTATATGACGGCGGTCTGTCAATAATCGAGCTTGGACCAGACAATCCAGTGATTCTTATCATGAGCATCGATCCACGCATTGGGATACGATGACATGAACCAAGTCAGCGAGCCTGCCCACCCGATCCCGTTAATCGCCTCTTACCACAAGCATCGGTTGCCGAAGACCAAACTGAACCCTAATCTTTTCGGGTCTGAGCCATTTGTATTGTTGATTTTCATTATCCATAGTAACACGTACGCTCTCTCTAGTATCTCTAATCTTGCTTTTATGCAGTATTTGTGATCAGATTGGAATGCGTTGTCTGCAACGTGATGAACGCCAATGGGCGTATTGCCATGTTTTAAACTGGTAGAACGGGCAAGAGGTGTATCAGTGTGTGATTTGCAGACTTTGGATTAGGTTTCTGCAGACAAAGTGTTAATGATCGGCCCCGCTCCGGGCGCCCTAGATCAATAACAAGATGATCGAGTATCAGAAACCGGGCTTTAAGAAATCTAGCCCAAACAACCAATCCGATTTTTCCACATTCACTCTGGACGTCCTGAGTAGAGGATAGTTCACGTTATGAATATTACAAAACTTTCAAGACTTTACAACCAGAAATATATTCATCAGTACTCACTACAGAAAATTTAAGAAAACCTTTGATTAAATATGGACTTGGTTTACTGGACCTATTTGTAAATGAAGGAATAAAACTGTCTATTGAAAAACTGAAAGAAAATTTGTCCATTATGTATTCTAGAGATAGAAAATGACATTCATTTTGTGTTTGTCTGTCCATTTTACAATGATCTTCGAAAGAAATATGTAAAAGATTATTTAATAGCAACGTCAACGATAAACGCCCTTGTAGTTACTAGTATTCTGAGGATAAAGAACGAATCTAATATATTAAATCTTTCTCTATATATTAAGCATGCATTAGCTAAAAGAAATGAATTAATCACACAACGTGTATATCCCAATGTGTAGCATTTATGATTGTATCTACATGCGTTACTTTCTCTTGTATATTGGCCAGAGGCCTTTTGTACAATAAACATCTCTTGACTTTGACTTTGACTTTGGATAGGCGTGGACATTACATAGTGTCAGAATTCTTGTATTTGCCGAGCGACAACGAGAGTGATACATGCATTCTTTCACGAATTTCGTAAAATCAACATCACACATATTTGAATTTAATAGGTTCGTTACTACCCATTATTTCTTAATCCTATCAATCACTGGAATAATTGTTTGTTCAAGACTGGATTATTTACAGGATGATGTCTTATAGCTGGAACGTTGTTGAGTGCAGTGGTAAACAACATTCAGTCACTGTACAATGTGACATAATTTGACTGACACTGTCTGATATCACTAAACCTGTGACTGTTCTGAATACACGTTCACACATGAAACTTCTGTCTCCAAAATACATTCAGGCCGACGTCATGTAGCTGGAATATTGCTACACACACACACACACACAGAGTTAGTGTGAGAGGAAAGTCCATGGTGGCGAAGCGAAGAAACTCGACATAACAGATTATGGTGGATTAGACCCCTTTGCCACCTAAGCACCGCTGGAGTTGAATCTAAAACGAGGTTGCGGTATCGATATGACGTTTTGCGACCCGTTCTGAAGCCATTTCTTCAACAGCGCCCTCGAGCTGACGATAAAATAGACACACAGTATATTGGTCCAAAAAGACAACGCTCGGTCCGTACTGCATGGCTAACGCAGGACTACCTCAACACGATCATTCCACGTTTTACCGTGGCCTTCATGTTCTGACATGAAACCCATCGAAAATGTGTGGGATCATCTAGACAGGCAGATCAGAAGGCGACCAGTACCGTCAGTACATGGAGCGATCTCTTCTTACTGAATGGCAACGGATTCCAGTCAACGTCATCCGGCGCTTGACGTCATTTTAATACGGTGACGTGATGTGGCGTGCATTGATGCACGAGGTGGACCTACACGCTATTAATACACTGTTTGCTGTCTTTGCAGAGTCGTTAAATACTGTTGTGGAACATGTGTTATGACGGTGACATTGTTTAATCCACACCCATGCGTCTTTGGGTCACTGTCACATGCCAACCACATTAATACATTTGGATATATTTGACCATGCAACATGTTTTGGCGTTTCTTCAGTAGTGAGGGGGCACGGGTGGCCAAGTCGTCTAAGGCGCCGCGATTCGCCGTGCAGAGTCGCGTCCCTTGGGCACACCAGAAACCTATGATCCCGCCCCGATTATGTTTCTTGGTTTGTCAGCTACATGCCTGTGCTCGTGGGTTTCACCAAAGTGGTAAACGTCTGAGACCTGCATCATTTCTGGCCTTCCTCCCTCATTAAGCTGACACGCCGTGATATAACTGAAATACTGTTAAAAGCGGCGTTAAACCCAACTCAGTCACTCACTCACTCACTCTTCAGTAGTGTCGCGGCGTATATTCTTTTGGACGTCAGTAATGGCAGACGTTTCCTAAGCTAATCCTCCCGAGAGACGGGGTCCGAAATCACGGGAAAACAGCCCATTAGCACAAGGTGACATTTAACAATTGATTAAAAGAATCCAGAAGTTCAAGTTTCACAAATATGTATTGCGTTTCTTTTCACTGGTGGAAAGATGTTTCTTTCATTTTCAACTTATTATTCATTAATGAGAGGAGTAATGTTCTGCAAAATATAAGCATTACTCACTTTAATATCCTGAGACTGATAGGACTCTTGCATGTGTTATTTTTGTATTAATCGATACAGCTGACACATCAATGTACTGATGGGAGGGGCATTCGTGTGTAAAGTCATTTAATATACAACAGCATAATATCAATATATCCGAACAGAAGGCACGTGGTGTCTTCAGAATGCGTATATCATATATTACTTATGTCTGTTTCTGTATTTGTAAGCAGGTACGTCGTTAGGTTCATGATGAAAGGATGAGCAAAATTTTTTTGCATAACACAAATGAAAGGTTTTAGAGCTCAGAGTGAGTGAGTGAGTGAGTGAGTTGGGATTAACGCTGCTTATCAGTCCAGAAGCACCGTGAATGGGCGACATCTGCATTGTATGTCCATTTCACATAGTTTCACATTCATTCATGCAAGCGTTCACCTTCAAATACCTCACACGGAAGTGTTTAACATGCTCCTTAGCGGTGACTTAGCCAAGTGGGTAAAGCGTTCGCTCACAGCCTACGCATTGCGGGTTCGACTCCCTGCATGGTCACAACATGTGACAGAATTTATCATGACCGGATACGTGACTTCTCACGTGGTACAATAAAAAGTTCTCATAACGAAGGTAAAATTACGTAACTTTGAAAGGAAATGTACACACGATACACATTTACCTTAGAGAGGAGTACCACTACATGGCCATCTGCGTCAGCTTGAGACGACGTCTTGTCGGGTTAAAGTACCTCTTCAGATAACTTGTGCTTGTGCTTGTGGCTCTGACGTATGTTCTGCTCTCAGTTCAAATATCTGATGACACTGTGTCCATGGTTCATACAGAAAAGGACAATATACAAACATGAGACTTATGAGGAACGAGGCTTGGATTTCAGGATAAATTCAGACACCGATAGATGTAGTTCCGTATAAGCAGGCTCTGGTAACAGTTCAGACATCTGATCACAGTCTTTCCATAGTGGCAAAGGAACAATATGAAGACACCAGTGTGTGTAAAGAAGTAGCTTCGGCTTCAGCAGCAGGGACTTGGATACCGGTTGAAATTAATGCGGATGCCGTGTGGCCAGGCTTCGTTCAGATGTTTCGTTCAGACACCAGATGACGTCAAATGGCACTCTGAAAATACGAAATAGACACATATCATAAACGAATCATACCTAGCTTCCTTTCCTTCACGTAAATAAAGTCCTGATGCTTCCGAGTCCACACATAGGTGTCAACGAACACCTTGTAACAGATACTGCAAGAATACTCCGCGACAAAGAAACCCTACCGACAACGCACCAACAGTTCCAAAAGACGATCTTGCAGTGTGACAACATGCCATTAAACACAGTGCCACCCACCTCCAACATCGATCACGTCATGAGCATGTTAAAACTGTAGAAACCACACCAAGTTCTATCATTCTGTCATATTAGTATATCAATACCCACCAATAACAAATTGACCAAGCCATAGAGCATGACACACGTGATAGACGGCCATTGGTGTTGCCTAGGCACTTTATCTGGGGAGCCCTTGGCGTGAGGACTCCGGAGTTGCCGCTATTGCCCGGATGAGCCACAGCTTGCCCAAGGGGCGGTTTCACTGCCACTTCAGGTTTGGCCAAGGAGAAAAGACTGTATTCTGGTGTCACGACGTCGTCATTAGTGGAGACAGCGGCACGTCTCTGGACGTCTTCTCCCCATCAGCTGACCATTACAACATCATATGGCTTTGAGGTTGACCTCTGACCTGGTAACAGAACGGGACGGTTTGGACATGTGGTTAAAATGACAAAGATTATCGTTACATGCACCTTTTGTTTAGTTGTGTTTGCTTGTTTGTTATTTACGCCGCACCCAGCAATGTGTCAGCTATATGACCTGCGTTCTGTCTATAATCGAGTCTTGACTAGACCAAGTGACTGATATCATGAGATACGATGACATGCAGTGGATTGCCGGTAGATCAATTCTAACTCGGATCTTCACGGGTTTTTTTTAATAACATATTTTTTCGCGTGAGTTTTTCTGAAGAATTTGACATTTAGTTTACACAAGTTTACATGTTTCTTTTAGCATTTTTCGGAAAGCTAAAAGGTATTTTGGACAAACGTAGCTTGATAAAAGACGACAATGGACGTCTGCAAATGATGCACCAGGTTACATTGCGTTAAGCTCATAGTTTAGAAAGTTGTTTAGACACTTTTATTTAGTTTCATGTAATGCGGAAGTAGTTGATGCAGGGTTTGTGAAGCATGCACTGGATAAAAAAAAACCTTGTTCGTGTTTTTGAAATAATTGCATTGCAAGAGGTGAGAACAGACACAAAGTCCAGAAAGATCCCACTTTCTTCAAGTACGGACTCAAGGGTGAAAAGGATAACAACTTAACACCCTAATATACAAAGTATTATCTTTGGTACCCTTTTCATAGAATACAATGCCAATAAAAGCGCGAAAAACGTTTCTATGATCATAAGAAACCTCGTCTAAAAGCCGAGTCTGTTGTACGATTGATTCCGACTATATCATGAGCATGTCACATAAAATACTGATGATACCAGGTGTTTGCGAAAAGGTGAACGTATCCTGTCCCACCAGTAGCACTCGTCACAAACACATGCAAAGGCAAGTATATTGATAACCTGAAAAAAAACACGGGAACAAATGGTACAAGTCAAAATATGGAATTGCATCGGACATCGGTTTTGTCACTGGTGCGTCAAATGTGCAAGTGTCCTCCACATGGCTTCCATAAAAGGTTTTCAAGCCTTATGTTGTAAGCTTGATTAAACAAAATATGAGCCAGAGTGGTATGACGCTCTATGAAATCTTGCTCGATTGTACTTCAAAAGTTGTGAAATGTAGACACCAAGGGCTGGAGCTGCTGGAATATTGCTCGACATAAATGGAATGTTGACTAGTGGAATGTTGACCTCATACTTCTTGTAAAACATTTCAAATTCAACATGTAAGTCTTTATGACACCAGCACAGTATTGGTCCTACGATTTCAGAGGAGACGATGAGAGAATGTCCTTACCGCATTATTGACTGCCTATTACTCTTCACAATAAAACACAGAAATGGGCGAGTAAGGAACAAAACAATATTACTCTTCTCAATAATACCTACATAAATGGGAAAGTAAGGGACAAAACAATATAACTCTACACAATAATACCTACAGAAATGGGCGAGTAAGGAACAAAACAATATTACTCTTCTCAATAATACCTACATAAATGGGAAAGGAAGGGACAAAACAATATAACTCTACACAATCATACCTACAGAAATGGGCGAGTAAGGAACAAAACAATATTACTCTTCTCAATAATACCTACATAAATGGGAAAGTAAGGGACAAAACAATATAACTCTACACAATAAAACACAGAAATGGGAAAGTAAGGAACAAAACAATATTACTCTTCTCAATAATACCTACATAAATGGGAAAGTAAGGGACAAAACAATATAACTCTACACAATCATACCTACAGAAATGGGCGAGTAAGGAACAAAACAATATTACTCTTCTCAATAATACCTACATAAATGGGAAAGTAAGGGACAAAACAATATAACTCTACACAATAAAACACAGAAATGAGCGAGTAAGGAACAAAACAATATTACTCTTCTCAATAATACCTACATAAATGGGAAATTAAGGGACAAAACAATATAACTCTACACAATAATACCTACAGAAATGGGCGAGTAAGGAACAAAACAATATTACTCTTCTCAATAATACCTACATAAATGGGAAAGTAAGGGACAAAACAATATAACTCTACACAATAATACCTACAGAAATGGGCAAGTAAGGAACAAAACAATATTACTCTTCTCAATAATACCTACATAAATGGGAAAGTAAGGGACAAAACAATATAACTCTACACAATAATACCTACAGAAATGGGCGAGTAAGGAACAAAACAATATTACTCTTCTCAAAAATACCTACATAAATGGGAAAGTAAGGGACAAAACAATATAACTCTACACAATAAAACACAGAAATGGGCGAGTAAGGAACAAAACAATATTACTCTTCTCAATAATACCTACATAAATGGGAAAGTAAGGGACAAAACAATATAACTCTACACAATAATACCTACAGAAATGGGCGAGTAAGGAACAAAACAATATTACTCTTCTCAATAAAACACAGAAATGGGCGAGTAAGGAACAAAACAATATTACTCTTCTCAATAATACCTACATAAATGGGAAAGTAAGGGACAAAACAATATAACTCTACACAATCATACCTACAGAAATGGGCGAGTAAGGAACAAAACAATATTACTCTTCTCAAAAATACCTACATAAATGGGAAAGTAAGGGACAAAACAATATAACTCTACACAATAAAACACAGAAATGGGCGAGTAAGGAACAAAACAATATTACTCTTCTCAATAATACCTACATAAATGGGAAAGTAAGGGACAAAACAATATAACTCTACACAATAATACCTACAGAAATGGGCGAGTAAGGAACAAAACAATATTACTCTTCTCAATAATACCTACATAAATGGGAAAGTAAGGGACAAAACAATATAACTCTACACAATAATACCTACAGAAATGGGCAAGTAAGGAACAAAACAATATTACTCTTCTCAATAATACCTACATAAATGGGAAAGGAAGGGACAAAACAATATAACTCTACACAATAATACCTACAGAAATGGGCGAGTAAGGAACAAAACAATATTACTCTTCTCAAAAATACCTACATAAATGGGAAAGTAAGGGACAAAACAATATAACTCTACACAATAAAACACAGAAATGGGCGAGTAAGGAACAAAACAATATTACTCTTCTCAATAATACCTACATAAATGGGAAAGTAAGGGACAAAACAATATAACTCTACACAATAATACCTACAGAAATGGGCGAGTAAGGAACAAAACAGTATTACTCTTCTCAATAAAACACAGAAATGGGCGAGTAAGGAACAAAACAATATTACTCTTCTCGATGATAAACACAGAAATGGGAAAGTTAGGGACAAAACAATATAACTCTACTAAATAAGACACACAGAAATAGGCATGTAAGGGACTAAATGATATAACTCTACACAATAAGACACACAGAAATAGGCATGTAAGGGACTAAATGATATAACTCTACACAATAAGACACACAGAAATAGGCAAGTAAGGGACTAAATGATAATACTCTTCTCAATAATACACACAGTTATGCGCAAGTAAGGGTCAAAACAATATTACTCTTCACAATAATACACACAGAAATTTGAAAGTAAAGGCCTAAATGATATTACTCTTCACATTAATACACACAGAAATGGGCAAGTAAGGGACAAAACAATATTACTCTTCACAATAATACATACAGAAATGGGAAAGTAAGGGACAATATGATATAACTCTTCACAATAATACATACAGAAATGGGAAAGTAAGGGACAATATGATATTACTCTTCACAATAATACATACAGAAATGGGAAAGTAAGGGACAATGTGATATTACTCTTCACAATAATACACACAGAAATGGGCAAGTAAGGGCCAAACCAATATTACTCTTCACAATAATACATACAGAAATGGGAAAGTAAGGGACACTATGATATTACTCTTCACAATAATACACACAGAAATGGGCAAGTAAGGGACAATATGATATTACTCTTCACAATAATACATACAGAAATGGGAAAGTAAGGGACAATATGATATTACTCTTCACAATAATACACACAGAAATGGGAAAGTAAGGGCCAAAACAATGTTACTCTTCACAATAATACATACAGAAATGGGAAAGTTGGGACAATGTGATATAACTCTTCACAATAATGCACACAGAAATGGGCAAGTAAGGGCCAAACCAATATTACTCTTCACAATAATACATACAGAAATGGGAAATTAAGGGACACTATGATATATCTCTTCACAATAATACACACAGAAATGGGCAAGTAAGGGACAATCTGATATTACACTTCACAAGAATACATACAGAAATGGGAAAGTAAGGGACAATATGATATTACTCTTCACAATAATACACACAGAAATGGGAAAGTAAGGGCCAAAACAATATTACTCTTCACAATAATACATACAGGAATGGGAAAGTTAGGACAATGTGATATAACTCTTCACAATAATACACAAAGAAATGGGCAAGTAAGGGCCAAACCAATATTACCCTTCACAATAATACATACAGAAATAGGAAAATAAGGGACACTATGATATTACTCTTCACAATAATACATACAGAAATGGGAAAGGAGGGAATAAATGATATTACTCTTCACAATAATACACACAGAAATGGGAAAGTAATTGACAAAACAATATTACTCTTCACAATAATACACACAGAAGTAGGCAATTAAGGGACAAAACAATATTACTCTTCACAATAATACACACAGAAATGGGAAAGTAAGGGACAAAACAATATAACCCTTCACAATAATACATACAGAAATGGGAAAGTAAGGGACAAGCCAATATTACTCTTCACAATAATACACACAGAAATAGGCAAGTAATGGACAAAATGATATTACTTTTCACAATAATACACACAGAAATGTGCAACAAACATGTTTCAATTCTGATCGGAAATGTGTTAGGGAAGGTTTCATAAGCCCAGTGGCTTAATGTATATCAGCGTGAGGGAAGGTAGGTGTCCATTGGAAACTCAAAATTCAAAACACGCACAGAAAATGCATGTTGATATGGCATATATAGAATAGGACCTGAACACTGTGAACCTTTCGATACCGACATATTGATGGTATCACACGTAGCAAGTTAAGGTCGTAATCAGACGGATGGATGGCCTTGTGGGCGAATAACAACGTGGAAAGACGTAAGCTCAGAAGTGAGAAATAATTTGTCTTCTCTCTACCCCTTTTTAGAAAAAAATCCCGAGTAACTATATATTCTTTCATAACCATTCTATTTACTCTATTGACACAATATCAAATATGGTCTACATAATAACATGATAATTAGCAAAGTACAATTGTAATATTAACAAGATGTCACACATACGAAACAAATATATACATACTCATTTATCCGTTTACACATAAGCTTCAAGTTGAATGTTTCAATGATACTTACCCGTATGCGTGTAGCGTGTTCTGTTATATGTCCATGTTCAAATAATAAATCTCAGAAGGCAAACACCAGAGTCTTGACCAAAGCTTGTCATTTCTCGACTGCACCCACTGCAAAGACGGATCTCCGTACTGGTCACCGTAATGCGCGGATTATATAACAGCTGGTCTCAATGGACCCGATCTCTTCCTCGTACGGGGATTATAGTGACTGCTTGTATGTCCAACAACTCCAGCGCTGTATTGTCCCGACAAAACGTCTTGCTGCTTCAGATTTTCATTTCAGCCTTACCGGTGTATTTATCGACTGGTAATCCTGTTTCCTTCAATAGGTTTATGTACACCTAAGACTGATTATGTGGTTTTATCTTGCAGATACAAGACATAAATATCAATATGTCAGCTTATCCCCTGAAGTCACATGTACTAATGAAAAAGTGCTTTTTGTTCCAATTCAAAGACAGGAACGTTATTAATTTTTGGCGTTTTTTTGCAATGCAATATCATCTGTTTATCACGAGGGTCCGTCAGCATCTTTTGACGTTCGTGTTTGTGTTCCGGGCAAATGAATAGTATTGCCTTTATTTTACATTAGAAAAGAGTAAAGTAATGGCCTTTCAACACGAACTCCGTTTTACATTGTTCACGTTGATAAATGTGTGTTTTTGTCACCATATAATTCAACTCTACTGTACAACAGCTCACAGACATGATAAACATAAGGTCATGAACAAGTCTTTCTCATCAGTTGTTGTTTTTTTCTAAATGACTGAAGTTTTATGTTTTTGCGTAGTAGGCCGAAATTTATTTCGTCGCCGTTAGTGACCATGACTCTCTAGTTGAGGCAAGGACAGTTGTAACTATTCCGTAAAACAAAGGACATTTTAGTGAGTGAGTGAGTTGATCTAATGCCGCTTTGAACATTATTCAAGTTACATCTCGGCGTGCCAGATAAATGTGGGAGGAAGGCCCGAAGTGATGCAGGTCCCCAGACGTTTATCACTTTGGGGGAACCCGCGAGGAATGTATGGTGCTGACAAACCTAGAAACATGATTGGGTCGAACCGGATTCGAACCCATTGGCCACTCTTGTCGTTAATAGACCTACATGTACTTGTAGTATCAAAAACTGGGGTGTTTCACCGGACACGACAATACATTATTGGTCGTCCTGAAAACCCCCATTATGTTTACGTTTACATGACCGACACAATAAGATCAGTTCACGGCATTGTTCAGAGATGTGTGGCCGCCTTCTGTGGTCTAGTGGATAGAGCGTCTGTCCGGAAAGGGTAAAGTCGATGGTTCGATCCCTTGTCCGCATTGTACTAAGAGGCTTTGAAAGATGGTACTTGTTGTTACCTTGCCTGGCGCTCGGCACTAAAGGGATATAACAAGCACTGGTCGGCTCGGAGACAGTATACTGTGTCTGAGTGGGAAGGGATGTTATCTCAGTGGGCTAGCTCCATCAAACCGGGATAAGTCCGGACAGGTGCAAGCAGCGACACATACCGTACCCCGACGGCGTGAACTGTTGCTTACAACATCAATCACCTGATTGTCTGGTTCAGACTTAATTATTCACAGGCCGACGTCACATAGCTTGACTATTGCCGAGCGAGTGCCACCAAATAGTCAGCAAACAAAGTGAGTTGATAATGAATTAACCTTACTGAGTCCAGCCTAGCCCCGAATCTGGTTCGTCTCTAAGTAGACCCTAGTGCTGTGAAATCTTTGTAAACACGAGCCTAAGACTTATCATAGTGTTATTAGTGGTACATCGATTTCGATCAGTAATCCCTTCATCCCATTGTTTCGGTGTCATAGGCTGTCCTCGATGTTAATGGCGCTTTTCCAGGCTGGATATTATTTTTAAAAAGCTTATTACTCCGGTAAAAGGATTTACATTCTCAGCTCCCAGGGGAACATACAGCCCAACTGCCTATGAGGCAAGCGGAAGGTTCATATTATCAATCCTACCGGGTACCCATTCACTGCTATTTCATATTTTAAAGAAAGTCATTTGCCAAAACCGGTACGTGTGCTTCGTGAGCAGGACCGAAGCCCTGGAACCCTCAGGGGCCAAGCAACACGGTCACGCATCCAAGGAAGCTCCGCGACCACGTTGCTTAACTTCCCCTGACTCACGGGATCATTCCAGTTTCATAATGTGTTACTTTAAAGGGGGATGGTGTTGCTTGAGTGGAATGTCCTATTATCGAGGCGTTCTTTGTCGCAACCCGTGTGGCCTGTCAGTTGTACCAGCATACCGTGTCCTGCTAAACACCCGTGTGGCCTGTCATCTGTACCAGGAATACCGTGTCCTGCTGAACACCCGTGTGGCCTGTCATCTGTACCAGGAATACCGTGTCCTGCTGAACACCCGTGTGGCCTGTCAGTTGTACCAGCATACCGTGTCCTACTGAACACCCGTATGGCCTGTCATCTGTACCAGGAATACCGTGTCCTGCTGAACACCCGTGTTGCCTGTCAGTTGTACCAGGAATACCGTGTCCTGCTGAACACCCGTGTGGCCTGGCAGCTGTACCAGGAATACCGTGTCCTGCTGAACACCCGTGTCGCCTGGCAGCTGTACCAGGAATACCGTGTCCTACTGAACACCCGTATGGCCTGTCATCTGTACCAGGAATGCCGTGTCCTGCTAAACACCCGTGTTGCCTGTCAGCTGTACCAGGAATGCCGTGTCCTGCTGAACACCCGTGTGGCCTGTCAGCTGTACCAGGAATACCGTGTCCTGCTGAACACCCGTATGGTCTGTCAGATGTACCAGGAATACCGTGTCCTGCTAAACACCCGTGTGGCCTGTCAGCTGTACCAGGAATACCGTGTCCTGCTAAACACCCGTGTGGCCTGTCAGCTGTACCAGGAATACCGTGTCCTGCTGAACACCCGTGTGGCCTGTCAGCTGTACCAGGAATACCGTGTCCTGCTGAACACCCGTGTTGCCTGTCAGCTGTACCAGGAATACCGTGTCCTGCTGAACACCCGTATGGTCTGTCAGCTGTACCAGGAATACCGTGTCCTGCTAAACACCCGTATGGCCTGTCATCTGTACCAGGAATACCGTGTCCTGCTAAACACCCGTGTTGCCTGGCAGCTGTACCAGCATACCGTGTCCTGCTGAACACCTGTGTTGCCTGTCAGCTGTACCAGGAATACCGTGTCCTGCTGAACACCCGTGTGGCCTGGCAGTTGTACCAGGAATACCGTGTCCTGCTGAACACCAGTGTTGCCTGTCAGCTGTACCAGGAATGCCGTGTCCTGCTAAACACCCGTGTTGCCTGGCAGCTGTACCAGGAATACCGTGTCCTACTAAACACCCGTGTTGCCTGGCAGCTGTACCAGGAATACCGTGTCCTGCTGAACACCCGTATGGCCTGTCATCTGTACCAGGAATACCGTGTCCTGCTAAACACCCGTGTGGCCTGTCAGCTGTACCAGGAATACCGTGTCCTGCTAAACACCCGTGTTGCCTGTCAGTTGTACCAGGAATACCGTGTCCTGCTAAACACCCGTGTGGCCTGGCAGCTGTACCAGGGATACCGTGTCCTACTAAACACCCGTGTTGCCTGTCAGCTGTACCAGGAATACCGTGTCCTGCTAAACACCCGTGTGGCCTGGCAGCTGTACCAGGAATACCGTGTCTTGCTGAACACCCGTGTGGCCTGGCAGCTGTACCAGGAATACCGTGTCCTGCTAAACACCCGTGTTGCCTGTCAGCTGTACCAGGAATACCGTGTCCTGCTAAACACCCGTGTGGCCTGTCATCTGTACCAGGAATACCGTGTCCTGCTAAACACCCGTATGGCCTGTCAGCTGTACCAGGAATACCGTGTCCTGCTAAACACCCGTATGGCCTGGCAGCTGTACCAGGAATACTGTGTCCTGCTAAACACCCGTGTTGCCTGTCAGCTGTACCAGGAATACCGTGTCCTGCTAAACACCCGTATGGCCTGTCATCTGTACCAGGAATGCCGTGTCCTGCTGAACACCCGTGTTGCCTGGCAGCTGTACCAGGAATGCCGTGTCCTGCTAAACACCCGTATGGCCTGTCATCTGTACCAGGAATACCGTGTCCTACTGAACACCCGTGTTGCCTGGCAGCTGTACCAGGAATACCGTGTCCTGCTGAACACCCGTGTTGCCTGTCATCTGTACCAGGAATGCCGTGTCCTGCTAAACACCCGTGTTGCCTGGCAGCTGTACCAGGAATACCGTGTCCTGCTGAACACCCGTGTGGCCTGTCAGCTGTACCAGGAATACCGTGTCCTGCCAAACACCCGTGTTGCCCAGCAGCTGTACCAGGAACACCGTGTCCTGCTGAACACCCGTGTGGCCTGTCAGCTGTACCAGGAATACCGTGTCCTGCTAAACACCCGTGTGGCCTGTCAGCTGTACCAGGAATACCGTGTCCTGCTGATAACCCGTGTGGCCTGTCAGCTGTACCAGGAATACCGTGTCCTGCTGAACACCCGTGTTGCCTGTCAGCTGTACCAGGAATACCGTGTCCTGCTGAACACCCGTGTGGCCTGGCAGCTGTACCAGGAATACCGTGTCCTGCTGAACACCCGTGTTGCCTGTCAGCTGTACCAGGAATACCGTGTCGTGCCAAACACCCGTCAGCACAAGGTTTATAATCATGACGGATTTGAATCCTTATATTCGAATTCGTCCTGATAATTAAGTCCTGAATTCTGATATACGAAATCACTACCGGTTGGGTTTAATGCCACTTTGAACATTTTTCTTGTTATATGACGACGTGTCTACATGAGAAAAGCTCGAAGTGGTGCAATTCTCAGACATTTATCCTTTTGGTGAAAGGGGGAAGGGGGAACCGTCGTCTAAGGCGCCGCTGAGCAGAGTTACGTCCCTTGGGCACGCCAGAAACCTATGATTGTTGGTTCGAATCCCGGGTCGTCCCGATTATGTTTCTAGCTTTTTCAGCACCATACCCGTGCTCGTGGGGTTCACCAAAGTGTTAAACGTCTAAGACCTGCATCACTTCGGGCTTTCCTCCCACAATAAGCTGGCACGCCGTGATATAACTGGAATACTCTTAAAAGCGGCGTAAAACCCAACCCACTCACTCACTTTTGGTTCACCATACCAGCATGGGTCTGACATACGGTTTTGTGCTGACATACCTAGAAACGCAATCAGTGTGAAGCGGGATTCGACCAAAGAGCATAGGTTGTTTGCACGCCTTATGCACAAAGGATTTCAGG